TTGCTGGGCATTTAAATTGAGAGCTACGAGCAGCCATTGGTTAATTAGTGGCATGAGACCTACATACTTAGTAGTATGAACACCGCCATCAGTGGTAACATACTAAATTCTATTTTTGTATTGCATCTCGAATGGTGGCGCACTCACGATTGCCAATACAGAGTGATACAGGTGCTGTATTTGTGCGATGTGGACACTCCCTTTAGTTCAAGTTTACCACGGACAATAAATTGCTGCAATTTGAACGCGTATTGAAGTTGAAAGATCATGATCTTATAGAATTGTTCGACGAGTGATTGTGCGAATTCATGTGACAGGAAAGCAAAACTTAGATAGAATCACACCTTTGAGAAATAACAGTAATCAGTGTATTGCAATAATGACATCGCTTGTAGTGACCCCAACCCATTTCAGACATTGAATAATGCGCAAATCGATATTGAAAATGGATATCGTGTTTTACGACATTTGAATATCTATTCATAGATTTATATGTTATTTCTAAGTGTGTGTTTTTTCCAAAGCAACCGACTGGATATATACCCCTACTTTAATAATTATTACTTAAACTATTTCAGATGATGTGACTAAATTGTACCAAGGCGTGGTTTGAAATGACAAGCTTTGCAGTGTATTTCAGTCTATTCTAGCCACAGTGTGCTTTCCATTTCAAGTGAACAAAGTACGTCGCGTGGGACCCATATCTTTGGCGACCTGCACGTATATTAAATATGATACTACTAGAATAACTAAGACTTTGCTTTGTGGATAGAATTTAAGCAGAAACCACTGCAACTAGAAGTTCTTATGATAATTGCCGCGACTGGCATATAGTTCTCCAGTATTTTCTAGATTTTCAACTAACACTGTTAGATTTAAAAAAAAATAGACAGACCACTTTTTGTGTTACCCTTTGGTATGAGATGTTCACAATACGCATTAATATTATAAAATTGACAAAATATTTTAAAGCAACAGACGTAGTGTATCAAATCTCAGCAGATGTAAGTTCTAATTTAGGAATGTTGACTCGGTGGTTTTTGAACTATCGATATATAACAACCTTATTATCTATTTTCTGTCGGATAGAGAATATTTCCGCATTTTGACCCCGAAGACATGGTATTCCCGCCGACCATTGGGTTCAAGACTAACAACGACTATACACGCCCTCAAAGTTCAAGCTCGAACTTTCTTCCCCGCCATGACTGCACAAATTGAGTGACGACCGCAACTCCAAGTCTGTATTAAAGAGACCACTAAATAGCGAGTCGTGAAATTAAAAGATGAAGAATAAAATTACATTTTCGGGCATACATATTTCACCATCAGTCGCTCATTTTTTCACGATTCATAGTAGTAACCACTATCAGTGACCGACACCGATGACCACCTCGTCAATGTTGTGATTCACGAGGTTAATGACCGCAAATGACCTATGAACTTATGAACAAATATAGTTCATGATCAGCTCAGTGATTGGTGAGTTTATTTTTTCCCAGCATTCCCCTCACTACATTATGACTTCCTGTGTTGCTTGTCAAAGAAACTGTGATCGCACTGGCTAGTAAAGCTGATTTCATTCGCCGCTATGGCCAAGCTCCTGAAGCATTTGCTCGGTAAAAAATCTCCACCACAGCCTCCGGAGCCAGACTACGATGCTGAAAACGGTGGACGGAGTTCGAGCTGGGAGTTTGAAACCGACGAAGATGCTCTACCAGATTACACGGATCCAGTCACGACACTTTCTTCTACGTGTGCGTCCCGATCAGCACCAACACAACAACAACAAACACACAACCTGAGGCCGAGACCTCACAGCTACGCAAGTGGTGGCGGCAGTTCAAGTCCCTTGTTTAGAAATAATGACGTTGGTGCAAAATTTAGGCCGAGTAAAGAATCGCCTGCTAAATTGAAAAAGGTGAGTTCTGGGGGTTATTGTCTCATCATGTCTGTTCATTCCCTCGTGGCGCGTACCATGTCAGAGACAAGATAAGAATCTATCACATGAATGTGCTAGTATGTCTTTGTTGGTGTATGATTGATCATAATATAGTAAGAACATTGGTTTGTACGTCACCGACAAACTCTCTAGTGCTCTCGTCATGCCCCGTTTGTTGTATATCTATCGTGTTATAATATTTCAAAATGGTCATACAAATATAATATAATATTTCCAAATCAAAGTTGAAACAAATTATGAACAATAACAGTTATTTGAGTTGAGTTACAGTGCTTTCAGAAAAGCTGTTCACATATTTTAAGCAACTAGTTTATAACATATTTCTTTAATGTTTTATTCAAACAACTGAATTGGCTATAATAATAATTTGCATGGCGCTCCACGAAGTGCCACAAAGCCAATCAGATTCTAATTGATACATGTATACATTTTTTTTGTACCTATGCACACGTGCAGTCTGGTTAGTTCTTTTTTTAAATTTATAAATTTTTTATGTTTATAAACTGTAAATTTTGTAAACGAAATTCTGAAACATGATATGAGTGGAACATAATTTGAAGATAGGGGGTGTGATTTCGGTCTGATGCATTTATGCAGCTAGGGTCAAGTTCTATCTGTCAGGCCCAGTCTTATCGGTGACAATCTCTGCCTGAGCCAGCTCAAGGTAAAATGTTTTAATAACAAATAAGCTAACAGTGATAGACATATATTATAGATAAGTTATCAAATAACTTATTAACCTTTTATCCACAAGTTCCCTCTTTTTATCACAAAATAGTCCC